GTCAGCAACTTAATTTTTCTTGGATCCACAATCAATATTATAGTAGCATCCATAAATTAAAAGATGTGTTGCATTAGGAAAATCTGTGTTCCTCTACTGTTCATAGAATTTTCCTCTGTGAAGAGGAATGTGACATCAGGAACACAGAGAGACTCATCAATAACCTGCATTATGTAGATGAGAGAACCTTGCTTGCTGAAGGTGATGAGGACTTGAAGCATTTGTTGCAGAAGATCAAGGAATGCAGCCTTCAGTATGGATTGCATCTCAATGTCAAGAAAACAAAGACTCTTAACATTGGACTGATAGGCAACATCACAATGAATGGAGAAAAGATTGAAACTGTTAAAACTTCATCTTACTTGGATCCACAATTAACACAATCAGCACCAGCAGTCAGGAAATAAGGAGATGTATTTCACTGGGAAATCTGCAGTTAGAGACCTCTCCAAGTTATTGAGGAGTAATGATGTCAGTTTAAGGACAAAGGTGTGTCTGATTTGGGCCATGGTCTTTCTGATCACTTGCTATGCATCTGAGAGCTGGACAATGAATAAGGATGACAGAAGAATTGATGCCTTTGAGCTGTGGTGTTGGAGAAGAGTATGAATAGCCAAAAGAACAGACAGATATGTACTGCAGAGGGTGTAGCCAGAGTACTTTTAGGTGGCAAGAATAATGAGGCTTTACCTCACATACTTTGGGCATATTTCTAGAGCTATTCTATGAGTCGCCCGCAACTCGACGGCACTTAACAACAACAACAACAACAACAACAACAACAACAACAACATTCCTTAGAGAGGCATATGATGCTCAGAAAGGTTGGGGAAGGAGAAGATCCTTAATCAGGTGGATTGATATGATGATTGCTGCAATGGGCTCTTGTGTATCAGGAAGAGTGAGGATGGTACAGGATAAGACAGGGTTCAGATCTGTTGTTCATAGGATTGCTATAAGTCATACTTGACTCGATGGTACCTAACAACAGCACCATTAGGAAAGTCTGTTAAGGACCTCTCTATAGTGTTAAAGAGCAAGGATGTCAATTTAAGGACCAAGGTGTACCTGATCCAAGCCATGTATTTTAAAAAAATTGGTTTCTATGCATTTGAAGGTGTTTGACTGTGTGGATCATAACAAACTGTGGCTGACTCTGAGAAGAATGGGAATCCCAGAACACTTGATCATGCTAATGTGTAACCTATACTTGGACCA